AGGTGACCACCCGCGGCTGCGTCCTCCTGCTGGCGGCGTGTCCGTCCCTCGCCTCCCTCACTTGCCGCTGGACGGGCGAGGCGCTCGACCTCATGATGCGGGGCGGCCGGGAAGCCAGCCTTGCCCTGAGTCAGCTGCTGCTGGCGGAGGCGGCCTTCCCGCCGCTGGAGGAGGTGACAAGGGTGTGCCCTCAGCTCGCGTCCCTGGTGGCGAGGCGGCCGCCAGACCCCGTCAGCGTGAAGAGCATGATCAGCTCGATCCCGTCGCTGACCGCCGTCACGCTCCTGCAGTTCATGCCCGAGGCGGAGCAGTGGCTGTCCAGCGCGCCCGCGCCCGCCCTCACGTACCTCCACCTGTCGCTCCTCGACGCCCGCCAGGTGGACCTCGCGGGCCTCGCCGACACGTGTCCCGCCCTCACGCATCTCATTCTCGAGGGCGTCACGCTCACTCTGCCCCGCCCGCGCCCCTCCGCTCCGCTGTCAAAGCTGACAACCCTAAGGCTCGTGACACCGCCCACGCAGACACACGTCATCGACCCCGAGGTGGCCGTGTGGGCCATGGTGTGGGCGAGGAACGCCGTGAGTGTGGACCTGGGATCCTGCAGACACTTCACTGACCAGCACCTATCACAGGCCCTGGATCAGGGGGCGCTCTCCCAGGTCAGTATGGAAATATGTGTTATCTCTTTGCAAGTGTCGCTTGTGCGTAGGTGCTCACGCGTCAGAAGCGCACACTTTCTTGCTTTATGACATGCCAATGAACATTCCCTGTCGTCCGCAGGTGGAGGACCTGCGCCTCTCGGGGGCTTGCCGGGTCACCGACGCCGGCATCGACGAACTGATGCGCTGCTGCCCGGACCTCCGCCGCCTCGCCCTCAAGATGCTCCCCAAGGAACGCCTGGCCGAGCTCGAGGCTCTCAAGGTCAAGATAAGGGAAGAAAACCTTGACCTTGAGCTCATAACTTACGGCTGGAAGTTTTGATTTTTTTTTCTATAAGATAAAAATCAAGAAACAACAGAGGGACAGCACTTTGTGTGTGTGTATGTGTGCGAGAGAGAGAGAGAGAATGAGAGTGTGTGTGTTTGTGGTGTATGCGAGAATGCATCAGCTGTTCATACTTAGCACTTTCGGTGTCGTTTTATATTTCAGAGATGTATTTGCATGATGTATTAGCTGATAGATGGAAATTAGATAAACACCCGAAACTTTCTGTGGCCTTCTATGGAAACATCACGTGGATCTAATCGTATGGGTAATGATTATTCAGATTTATATCCTTCAATTAGTGAACTCATGTACCTCTTGGTTTCATTATATGATATTTTCAATTCTGAGTTTTATTCCAGTTTGATGTGTGTTGCATTTGATTTCTTAATCATTATGATAACTAGGATATATGTTATCGTTGGTATCGTGAGTATTACTAGTCATTATTAATACTATTATCTTTATGACCGTTATAACTTTGATTCTAGAATGTCTTGTATATTGGCATTTCTTAGTACGAATCATTTTTCTTAATTATTATTTTGATAGTTTTTACTCACATTATTACAACTGTTATGATTCTGATTACTGTTTGATTTTCGTCACTGTTGTTTTTTTCACATCACGATTATCATCAGAATTATTGTTGGTGTTGCAATTGGTATAAAATTGATTGTTCTTATGATGGTTAGTGGTACTGCTAGTGTTGTAATTTTCACTATTGTTATTTTTATTGATATTAATATTGTTACCATTGCCATTATTTTTATTTTGTTCTTACTAGTATCATCAGTGTAATGAAAATTAAACATAGTATTTTTGAACATTAGTGAAGGTTGTATTTTTTTAAATATCAATGATGTCATTTATTGTTGTCGGCATTATGATATTAATGATAATACTGATACTATCATTATTTCCATGTCATTTATCATTGATATCGCTATATACTGAAAGAAGAGTAATATTGTTGTTCTTAATTGTATCATTATATCATTAATATTATTATTTACTGTTGTTACTGTGATCATTATTCTTTTCATTATTGTTATTATCTTTGATATATTCTAATAATTCTCTCGCATTTCGTGTCCCTTTATCAAAGCGAGACACCTTAGACATATAAAAGTGTAGTTTAATCCCAGATGGTATTTTTGCTATTTCGACATGCGTGCCATAATATCGCAAAATTATGAACCATCGCTTAGGAGGTGCTGAAGCGGTGATGGGCAGTGTAACATTTATGTGACTGCAACTTCTGGTTAGTTTAGACAGTAAGCACATTGTGTATAGATACTAAGTGTGTGTGTATAAATGCGTAGACACACACACGCAAACGCACACACACACACACACACACACACACACACACACACACACACACACACACACACACACACACACACACACACACACACACACACACACGCATACACACACACACACACTGATATTCTCCTATGTGTTCTGAACTTGTGCAAGTTTTTGAAACGTGATTCTTTCTCATACGCTA